CCCCGACCCCCTCCGAGATGGTGGGGGGCAGGGGTAGGGTTCGCGTGTGGCCCCCTAACCACTCAGCTTGCACCACTCGGCCTGACCTGCACAGCCCGCGGAACGAATGCAGTCGGCCTTGATTGGACAGGACACGCGAGAGGACACAAGACCCTTCCGAGGGCCACATTGCCGTAGGAGTGCGGGAAGCACGGGTCGCGAGGCCCAGGACACGAGGGTACCCTTGATTTGGCAGGGTCGACCTACTAATCCGGGCCGACTGTAGACTGCGCCGCGCAGCTTGCACCACTCAGCTTGACATGCACAGCCTGCAGAACAGATATGGCACTGCCCAGCTTGCCCCGTACCTACACCTGTACGACCACCCTTTGGATGACAAGGAGGTTGGAAGCATAAACAACTGATGGAAGCTGCGATGGTTGTGATGATGACGTTGCTGGTGATGCACCCTCGAGTTGGCGACGACGCGTGATGACGATGCTGCGTCGCGATGTGGTCTCTCTATTGATCTCACTTTCGATCTCACTGTCGGCCCCCCAGCGGGAAATAGGTTTCGGTTTCGAGTTCGTGTCCTGCGTGCGTCCTTATCACCAGGGCACCACGCAGACACCGCAGGGACACCTTCGGAACACCACCTGAGGCAACTATTGGACACCACCAGGACACCATCGAGACACCATCGAAACACCACCAGGACACCATCAGGACACCAATCGGGGAACCTATCGGGACACCGACGGGCCACACACATCGGGACACCGACGGGACACCGACGGGACACCGACGGGACACCGACGGGACACCGACGAGACACCGACGGGACACCGACGGGACACTGACGGGACACCGACGGGACACCGACGAGACAGCGACGGGACGGCGACAAAACACCAACGGGACACCGACGGAACACCCCACCGGGGGAGGTTCGGACAAGTCTTTTGCCCCGCCCTAGCAGCAACGGGGTCATTCCTTTCGCCCGCCCGCGCATGTTGGCCTCGCCTGCGCGCACGACACGGGCCCGACACCGAAACCGATTTCCCGGAGGGCGGGCCTCTCCGCTCTATATTGCGTCGCACAGCCTGCAATGCATATGTCACACCAAGTTGTCTGCACCAGATAACTTGTAACATACATGCGTACGTAACGCATAGACCACCCTTCGGGTGATAAGGAGGTGAGGGGGGGGGGAGGGACCACCGTCGCACTCGATTGATCTCACTATCGAACTCACTACCGATCTCACAATCGATCTCAATCGATAGATCTCACAATCGATCTGACTATCGATCTCACAATCAATCTCACAATCGATCCCACAATCGATCTCACATTCGGTCTCGCTATTGATCTCACAATTGATATCATAATCGATTTCGCATTCGATCTGACTATCGATCACACTATCAAACTCACTATCGATCTCATTATCGATCTCACATTCGGTCTCACTACCGATCTCACTATCGATATCACAATCGATATCACAATCGATCTCGCATTCGGCCTCACTGTCGATCTCTCTATCGAACTCACTTTCGATCTCATTATCGATCTCACTATCGATCTCACTATCGATATCACAACCGAACTCACAATCGATCTCACATTCGGTCTCATCATCGATCTCACTATCGAAATCACTACCGATCTCATTACCGATAGTGATATCACTACTAACTCAATCGATCGATCTCACAATCGATCTGACTATCGATCTCACAATAGAGTCCATAATCGATCTCACATTCGGTCTCACTATCGATCTCACTATCGATATCGCAATCGATCTCACAATCGATATCCCATTCGGTCTCACAATCGATCTCACTATCGATCTCATTATCGATCTCACATTCGGTATCACAATCGATCTCACAATCGATCTCACAAGCGATCTGACTTTCGATCTCACAATCGATATCACTACCGATCTCACTATCGATCATCAAAACAAAACATCAACATCGTCATCATCATCACCATCATCATCATCAATATCATCACCATAATCGGGACACCGACGGGGCACCGGCGGGACACAGCGGGGCCCCGGCCGCCCGGAAGGGAGACATTTGGTCCGGCCGCGCCTCAGCCACACGGGACACTAGCGGGACACCGGCGGGACACCGCGGGCCCCCGGCCGCCCGGAAGGGAGACATTTGGTCCGGCCGCGCCTCAGCCACAGGAGACTTTCTCTCGCCCGCCCACGCAGCTTCGCCTCGCCTGCACGCACGGCACGCACGAACACGAAACCGAAATCGATTTCCCGGTAGGGGGGCTCTCTGTTCCACTTCGATCTCACCCCCTCACCTCCGATCTACATCTGTACATGTGACGCCAGATAGGTTGCACCACATGTCTTACGCATTCAGACCGCACTAACACACTGCTTGGAGTCCACGCTGGCAAACACGTCGGTTCTGTGATACCTGGTAACGACACGACTCCCTCAATCGATGCCGTCCTCATCAGAGCTCTCGACGCCATTCCCAAGACACTTGCCATTGCCGCAAACCGTTTTTGCCAAGATACCCGTGTCGCCACGTGTGCTTCTGCCGTCGGCGCCCGAGGTCACGGGCTCCTTCTGCACACCTTGGCCTCCTTAGACCCTTTGGTCTCTTTCCCGCCCGCGGTGCCCTCCAGACGCCGCGGAAGGCTTCCACAGGCGCCTCCTATTATCCTCACCCTCCTCCTCCTCCTCGTCCTGTTCCTCCTTCCCTTCTTCACTTCCTCCTGATCGACTTGCTCCTTCTTCCCTTGCCAGCCGAGGTGTAGCATTCTTGGCGCGACTCCCTGGTGGAGGCTAAGGCCGCCAGCATCGCGCATGAAGTGCTTCATGGCTCGCGGCCTGAGGGTGTATCACCCCCACCTCCCCCTCCGCGGCAGCCCTCTTTACCTTTCCCATTGCGCACAGGCACAACTCGGCTAGGCCGAGGGCCGCTCTGGCCAGAACGTGCTGCGTTGCTACAACTGGGGGAACGAAGAATGCCATAAACATAAAAACTCGGAGGTCCGCGCGGATTTCTCGGCTGTCAATAATCGCTGCAACAAAACCGTTGCTTCTTTCGGCCTCCCATCTCCTCCTCCTCCTCCTCCTCCTCCTCTCCTCCTCCTCCTCCTCCTCCTCTCCTCCCTCCTCCTCCTCCTCCTCCTCCTCCCCCTCGATCCTCCTCCTCCTCCTCCTCCTCCTCCCCCTCGATCCTCCTCGGTCCTCCTCGTCCTCCTCGTCCTCCTCCTCCTCCTCCTCGATCATCATCCTCGATCCTCCTCCTCCTCCTCCTCCTCCTCCTCCGCCTCCCTCCTTCCCTCATTCGGCTCTTCGTCCCGGCGGCCGGGGCAAGGCCTGGTGGCGCGACGGCCCAGCCTATATCGCGGGAATTCAGGGCGCAAGTGCATATACAGTAGGAGGCCAATCCACAAGAAACCTTCCCCAAGAAACTCAACCCTGAGACTCCAGGACGTCCACTGCTTTCTGGTGTGCGAGCGTCCCGCGTTCCATCGCAGAACCATCGAGCCCCAAGAAACCCAGGGCACCCTGGAGGCAAACAGGGTGTTTCTTGGCATGGGCCTCCACTGTATATGCCTGACTCAGATTTTTTTTTTTTTTTTTTTTTTGTTCTCTCTCTCTCTCTCTGAGTACGTTGGACGCTGAACGGCCACCAGAAGTGCTTGGCACAGCGCTGCCGTCAGATGGCGCGCTCTGTTCTGCATCTAACTCGGCACCTCCTCCGACCTTGGCGAGATCCAGGTTGAGGCACAGGCAGCCCCGCGCGAGCCAGCCGCATTGGAGGAAGATCCAGCCGAGGACAACGATTCTCTTGTGCTGGGCATTGTCTCTCCTAGGACTCTGCCCTGGCAGCGACTGTATCTTTACGAGAATATCGAACGAGAAATGGCGTGCATTCGAAAAACTTTGCGCCGTCCCCAGCCCAGGATCCTCGGCGCCGGTGTGGCGCCTTCGACCTGCCTGCGTCAAGCCAGTCCGCTCGCAATAGCTTCAGACGTGGTGCGCTGTAGGTATCCGTGCCGCCTCGGGTGCGTCCACGTCCACTCGCTAGCCATCACCATCTTCATCGCCATCATCATTTCACATAACCGTCAACATCACCGTCACCATCGCCATCACGAGCACGCTCACAATCGCCAAACCTTCGCCACCATCGCCAGCACAGTCATCGTCTCACTACCATCACCACTATCACCGTCACCATCCTCCTCCTCCTCCTCCTCCTCCTCCTCCTCCATCCATCCTCCTCATCTCATCATCCATCCTCCTCCATCCTCCTCCTCCATCATCTCATCATCATCATCATCATCATCATCATCATCATCATCATCATCATCATCATCATCATCATCATCATCATCATCATCATCATCATCATCATCATCATCATCATCATCATCATCATCATCATCATCATCATCATCATCATCATCATCATCATCCGACTCCTCCTTCTCTGCGAAGCGGGGAAAAGTCCATAACCACCGCGGTGCTGAAGGATGAATCCCCGCCTTGGACTCTCCTCCTCCTCCTCCTCCTCCTCCTCCTCCTCCTCCTCCTCCTCCTCCTCCTCCTCCCTCCCCCCCGCTTAATCCGCATTTCGGGCTGCTACCACGCTTCCCTCCGCATCCCTTTTCTGGTACAGACCTCCGATGCCCTGCCCGAGGACATGTTTTTCGTCCCGCGATCGTTTTCTGACGATCCCAGGGCCCTGGAAACTGGCCTCTGGACACAGAACAAACTTGGAACAAGCTCCATCCTCCTCCTCCTCCTCCTCCTCCTCCTCCTCCTCCATCTCCTCCTCCATCTCCTCCTCCTCCTCCTCAATATCTTCCCTCCCTGCTCATTCTCCCTCCTTCCTCCTGCTCCTCCTCCTCCTCCTCCTGCTCCTCCTCCTCCTTCTCCCTCCTACTCAATACGCGACGTCACTAGAGGGCTCGGCGGTACGACGCCGACGGAGGGAACGGAACGCGGCAGCGCGGCCAAAATCAGGAACTGCACTGGGCAATGGCCCGCTGCGCATAGTACTGCACGTCGATGTCCGAGTCGTGCTGGAGCTCCGTCAACGCCTGCTTTATCACCGCGCTGATGGCCACCTGGCACGATCGAGGATCCAAGATCGAGGTGTCTTTTTGGCCAGAACCTGATTTACCCTTCTGCATCGCGGCCTTGCTGCGTGGCTGTCTTGCCACGTCGGCCGCTGGCTGCAGCAGGGGGGCGATCGCACCACGGCTCCTGGAACACTAAGGTCGCCGAGTCTCTGCTGCACTGCACGCGCCCGCAGCCAACGCGCTCGCTCGGCGGTGGACAAACCTCCCTTTAGTACACCTCCCCTTACTGAAAACAGCCAAAGACCGAAACCGACGGGCCCGAACCCGCAAAAATGACGGCCGCGACGCCCCCTCGCGAACCGAAAACGGCCAATTCCTTAATCGACGTGTCAGGGTAGGAGATCTATCCACCTCCGAACAACGACGGGTGTCTCTGCCTGGCTTCGGGCCCCATTGCCTTCACGAGTCAATCCGGCTCAAGACTTTGTCGCAGAAGGATAGGGTCGAGATCTCTGGTTGTTTTCGCAACCTAACTAGTGATTCTTTCCAGACGTCGGATCTTGCTGCACACCACGATCTATCAGAGGGGCCTCGGAGGTTTCCCGGGGAACCTCAGAGGAGCTCGGAGGACCTTGTGGGTTTGTGAGGGGCCTCGCCAGGCTGCTATGGCCCCCTGGCCCCCTGACCATCGAGCTGAAGTTGTGGCTCTCCATCATCCACGTGATATTTCGGCACGCGCAAAACCGGACGTTGGGGACCCCGTCCTTGGTGGCCTTGATCAGCACAGGTATGATAAACTGGAGAATCTGCTCTGGCGTCATCACGCTGGAAACCTGTGAAAGCACGTGCAGCATGGTCACGCGGCTGGCGTAGCCTGAGCTCTGGGAGTACTGCTCGACCAGCTTCGGTAGGAGGTGCTCCACGGTCCATGCTGGCCCGAACGTGTTTGCAATCGCCTTCATATTCTGAGTCGCAGCATCCCTCACCGAGTGAACGGAGTCGCGCAGGCTGGACAGGTAGAGTGCCTCTAATTTCGACTGAAACATCTCGACGCCGAAATGTCTTGAGAGCGCTGGGACCTGCTCGATGATCCTCTGGCGAATTCGCCAGTGGTTGTCCATGATGAGGTTCTGGACTGTGCTGAGCAGCGAGTGCACGAAGCCGTCGACGGACAGGACCTCGCAGAGCAGACCCACGTGAGAAGCGATGTTGAGGCGCACGTCGTGGGACTCGTCCTTCATCAGCTCGGAGATGAGGCTGAGCAGCTGCCGATGGGTGACCTCGCGCCCGAGAGTCTTTGCAACGGGGCCAAGGATCTGGGCAAGCGCCGCCCGCACCGGCTGCGAAGGGTCGATGGCCAGCGACGAGAACAGCGGCAGGACGTGCTGCTGGAGCTGGTCGCTGGTGAACGGGTCCGGCAAGAGAAGGCACTGCTCGACGACGCGCACGGCCTCTTTTCGCACCTCCTGCTCGGTGTCTTTGATCAGCTGCTTGAGGGGCTCCATCAGGTGTGCGGCCGTGATCTCCGGACCGAAGGCCGCGCACAGCTGGCTGAAGTTCGTCGCTATCGTCAGCCGCACGCGCCACGAGCGGTCGCTGGCCGCCTCCTTGATGGCCGTCACGGCGTGCTGCGAGTTCTCCTCCGCGTCGAACATCTTGGCGATCACCAGGGCGGTGTGGACGGAAGACACGCGGATCGTGTCCTGCGTGTCCTCCTGGGACAGCTGCTTGTACACGCTCATCATGTCGTTGAGCACGACCCGCTTGTCACAGGCGGAGATCAGGTCGGGCATCCTTGAAGGGGCCCTAGGACACACAAATGAATAGACACAAATAACAGGATTCCCCATATTTCCCCCCATATTTCCGGGGTTTTCGTCTTCCCCCCCACTTCCCATATTTTCCTATATTTCCCTGGGGAATCGACGATTCATGGTGTCTGCGTGTGTTTTTCCCCTCCCGAGTCCTGTGGGCCGCGGCGCGCCTCACCATGGGCGTGTCGTCCGCGCACAGGGCGTGGTACGCCTCCTGGAGCGCGGTCCTCTGCTCCTGGGTGTTTTTTTTGTTCTTTGATGGGAGAAGATGGGAGCGGACCGCAAAATTCAAGAACCACCGTCGTAGCTCGAAAGCCGGCTGCACTTGAAGGCCGTCTCTTCCTCACCAAGTGTGTGGAGACGGACGCAGGAAACGACGATGCAGATAGCACAAGATACGAATTCGCCGGAAGACGTAACACCCCTGCTCCTGGGTGGCGTGGCGGTAGACGGTAGGCAACAACGCGCAGGCGGACACGCGCGCGGTGAAGAAGTCGCTCTTCGTCGCCAGCCGGTGGACCTAGGGGAAGAAAAACGGCATAGACATACACTCGGCGGAGACGATAAGGGCGAATAGCCCAGGGGCGGCGGGCATTACACGCATTCGCCCGGGAGCCTTGTCGAAGACATAGATGATCGGCGCCCTTGGATACATGTATTGCTCTCTCCTGGGCTATTCGCCCCCATCGTCGCCTCTGATACACTTGCGATGGTCCCCGCGGAATTCCTGGATCTGCGCCAGATTCCCCTCCGGCGCCGCCAGGGGCCCCCAGCGCGGATCCAAGGAATCCGCGCGGACCGCCAACAGAAAGCTTACCCATCGGTCGGAGGAAGTAGGTATAGAAGCACGAAGCAGGAAGGCGGTGCAAGCAGATGGGGCTCCCGCCCGCCCCCCTGAGGCCCTGAGGAGGACGGAAACGGGGAAGCCGCTCGATCACTGAAGTAGGAAGGCGCTCAAAGTAGATTGGAGTCTGGGAACCCAAAAATACAGTCGGGGCGTTGACCTAAGGAACCCTAAATAAGGAACGCGGCCCCTTTTCTTCCATAAGTTAAACTTCGATGTACCATTGAAAACCTAAGGAAAACCCAGGGCAAACTGCAAAACAATCAAGGAACACCGAGCTCCTTCCCAACGAACAGGGTTCCTTCCACAGCGCCCCGACTGTACGGCAGGTTCGTGTCGTGCCGACCCCAGCGTTGGTTTTTGACACCGCAGGGATCGTTCAACCTTGAACGATCGGCCGCTGCCGCAACGTCCGATCGCTCAACATCGATCGATTCTGGGCCGCCGGCGGCGTTCAACCTTGAACGTCCGCGCTGGGGTCGCCGCTGGTCGACACGACGCGAACCTACCGTACCTACCTTCCACGACCGATGGGCATGCCGCTTGCTCTTCTCCGAGCACCGTGGGCACCACGTGCTCCGGCACGAGACGCCCGGGTGCGGCCGAGGCTGCCCCCGCGGCACGAGGTGGCAGCGGTGGCCGCCCCGGCTCCCCGCGGCCCGCGGCCCGCGAGGCGCGACGACCAAAGGGATCGACCATTTTTTTCCGTTGTCGTTGTGGTGTCGTTGTTTTTTCTTGCTTGCTCGTTGTCGTTTTGCTGTCGTTTTGGCTTTCGCTGTCGTTTTCCGTCGTTTGCTCTGTCGTCGATGTCCATCGTTGACGTTTTGTCTCTTTCCTGCTCTTCGTGTTTTTCGCTGTCGTCTGTCGTCTGTTTTCGTTTTCCCTCGTTTGGCCTTCCATCCGCCTGGGCTGCAGAACGAGATCGAAGCGCCAACGGCCCACGAGATCGCCCAAACACCGTTCAGGTCGACCTCCGTTGGAGGCCTGGAAATTGGCACCAACACCAACACAGGGGGTTGCCTCCACAGGGGAAGATGATCCTAGATTTCGGTGCTGGTGGTAATGGTTCGGCCACCTTGGAAGCCAAAATATTACCAACATCACCGAGACCGGAATCTTCATCCCTCGGTGGAGGCACGCCGCCGATATTGGTGTTGGTGTCAATCTCGAGGCCTGCGACTCTGGGCCGATCATCGCAGGGCCACCCTGGAGAGAAGGGCAGCTCCCTGCTCCAACACGCGACGAATGAATCACGCCGCCATCTCCGCGACCCCGTAGGGTGACCCGCTCGCGGCCGCCGGGTTTCAAGGGACGCCCCCCGACGCCCCCCCCCAAGCTTACCATGCGAAGCGCGGCCCGTGGCAAACAGAGAGGAGAGGAGGAGGAGAGGAGGAGGAGGAGGAGGAGGAGGACGAGGAGGGGGAGGAGGAGGAGGAGGAGGAGGAGGAGGAGGAGAAGGAGAAAGTCCACCGCTCCCGCGGGGCGCGCCGATCATTGCCGTTGGGCCTGTGCGCGGGATCTTCAGCACTGGGAGCACGGGCAGCATCGCGATGCACAAATCCAGGTTCACACATCTCACGGTAATTGTTCTGGGTGATGTTTAGAAGAAGGGAGAACGCCATACACATAAACATGTGGCGCTCCGCGCGGATTTCTTGGATCTGCGCCGGACCCCCGTCCTTGGCGCGCGGAGCTCACCAGTGGCGGCGCCGGAGGCGCCGCTGGGGGGGGGGGCCCAGCGCAGATCCAAGAAATCGGCGCGGAGCGCCAACAAATTATACTCATGACGTTTTTCTTTGTTCTTCTTCTTCTGGGCCGAAGACAAAGGATCTCCACGGGTGGTGCAGTCGATGCAGTCTGAATCGGAGCTGGGGGCGCCCCTGGCGGACTCGTGCCAGCATCTCGCCGCGCCCACGGGATCGGCCTGTCCTCGTCGAAGGTGGCTCGGTTCAACGGCCTCTTTCGTGTGCTCGCGCTCGCAACAATGCAGCTGCTGTCGCCTTGATTCCCATGCTGAGATAAACTGCGTGCCATCTGCCACTCCGCTACCGTCTGAGGCGCAGGATCGTGCTGGAGGCCGAAACGGAACGAGCTGTCCTGACGAGGAAAGGCCGACGAAAGGAAAGGGCGAAAAGGCTGACGAAGGGTGAAGCTGTGCTCGAGCAACCTCGCTGGAACACAGTGGTCGGACTCGCGGCCCGCGGTCAAAGGCAGATGCCCATGCAGCAGTCGGTCGGTATTGCCATAATCCCTCGGGACTCCATGAAGGGGCCCCAGGACACACAAATAAATACACAAATAAAACTATTCCTCATATTTTCACATATTTTCTATGTTTTTGTCTTCCCCTCCACTTCCCATATTTCCCAATATTTTCCTAGGAATCGACGATTACTTGTGTCTGTGTGTGTTTTTCCCCTCCTGATTCCATGTCATCGACGATGTACTTGGAGAGGTGGACAAATGAGCGTCTCTCTACTCGGCGTTTCGATGTGCGGAACGGGGGGGGGAGGGGGGGGGGTCTGGGTCCGGACCCCTGCTTAGTGCGACTGTCTGCAAGAGTGCTGTCACTGGGACCCGCTCGAAACAGGCGCCAAAAAAAACAGCCAAAATCAACTCCAAGGGGGGGGGGAGGGGGGGGGGCGCGAGGGCCCGTGCCGATCGGCAAAACAATGAAAGAACAACGCTCACCAAACGACTCATCCAACCCCCATCTGCATGTTTGCCGCGGCCAGTCACGAATGGATGCTTGAATCGATAAACACAGCGGTGCCCAGGAAACGTGATACATCCCGTCCCATGCGAGGCATGAGGTCGGCAACCGCGCCGCCGTCAACAACGTGCCATCATTTGCCTTTGCCGGCATGGTGGGACTTGTTGCTGTCGACGCACTCCTCGTTGGTTGTTGCAATCGCCACGTCGTTGGTCGACCACCAATCGGCGACCGAGATGCCTGTCCTGAGGTGGGCGTGTTTGATTCGCAGCGGGGGTGAAGCCCGCACATGCAAGTGCTGGCCGTCGATGCCGTCGCTCCGTTCTGTGTTTCGGTGCCAGGGGCCCAGTCTAGTGCACGATGTGTGCCGGTCATGTTGAGGATACCGATGTTCTAACGTTCGCTGTCGCGCACTTGCTGCTTGCGTTCGTTCGACAGCTCGAAAACACTTGCTTCTCGGCGCTACAATGGCAGAAACGCTCAGATAGTGCAGTTTCATGAAGTAGAGGTAAGTCACAGACTTCAGACACAGGGCGATCGCAGAACCAGTTTGGCGGGTAACTGCATGCCCGTTAGAAAATCACGTTCTGATGTGCGGCGCCAAATCTCAACGGGTAGCACATGGCACGTGCCGTTGATCCACCAGGCATGGGCAAAACAGACGTGCATACTGTGATCCCAAAGCAGATCTGCGTTCGTAATTGGCAAGTTCCGCGAAGGAATCTGGCTTACTGGACCACTGCTTGTCGAGCGTGCCCACGACGCAAGTGAGGTCCGCACGCAGCGAAATGCGCCGCGTGCCTTGTGCATCAGGGACGAAGGCATTGTTGATTGCCGCGTCGAAATATCCACTGCAAACTAGTTCCCATCCGTCTGGCTTGCTGAATTGCCCAGCAATGGAAGCCCACTGAAAGCAGCCATTCTTGCGTTCGGAAGCTGCCGGTGATCGTTGTTCTCCTAGTCGTTGGCCAAAACGTTGACGTCGGATTGGGTAGCCCACGTTTCCCTGGAGTTCCCTGGGCACATACCTGGGCCTCCCGCGGTGGTGTTCCACAATCTGGCCCTTGTCCAGTTGTGGTTCTCACTAGTCACGCGCGCAGCGCCCGCGACCTCATATAAACGCGGGTAGCCTGCGATATGAAAGCTGCCAACCGCCCTCCTGTCGCAGTCGGGTCAGCACATGTAGGCTGGGAGCCGCGTGCTCGACGAGGCCCTTGGGCACGACGCATCCAATGAAATTCTGCTCATCAGCATCCGCTGACTGACGAACACATAGATGTGCAATCAATAGAGATCTCACCTCTGCATCCGCATGGAGATGCAGCGTCGTCAGCATAGACTCGCGACCTCTGCGAACGAACCGTGGTCGACGCGTCTGGCGGGGCGCGGATCGCCGAAGGAGGCGGGCGCGGCGGGGGCCGCAAGGATAGCGTTGCCCAGCATGTCCGGGAATGTCGCGAAGACCTGCGTCTCTCAGGGCTCGAGCGAGGCAGCGGGAACGCACGGCGAAAACATGGAGAAACGGTGGGACGACGAAATGTTGCAAGTTGCTCCTGGCCGCGTACGGCCGCGCCGACATTGCGACGCCACCTCGACAAAACGCCCCCGCCCCCTAAATTTCAATGTTGGCATCGAGCGAGCACCCCAAGTCCGGGAGAACAAAATAATGCAAGTCAGCATTGAAATACGGGGGAAGGGGAGCTCCTCGGATATCGATGGAATATGATCAAAATTGTCATCTTGTTTCTCGGAACGATCATATAACTTGCGATATTTTGTCCGCCCACTGAACCACGCCCATATGGCGGCGTTGGCCATTGAAGCCGCATTAGGACTCTCCCTGAGAAAACCCTCGGCGAATTGAATAGCGACGACTGGGCGATCCGCTTCGAACCGCGAGGCGCCCGACAGATCCGGGAGATTTTCGATCCGATCCGCGCGGGCGCCCATCGCTGCGAGGGCGGCGGCGAGGCCGGATGCTGACGCGCGCTGCCCGTGGGCGCCTATGTCGGGAGGTCGGGCGGCGTCGAACCCTCGCGCGGACACGGGGGGGCGGCCGCGAGGCGAGCTCTCCTGAATCAGAATTTTGGCGGCGGAGCGCAGCGTTGCGGAGGGCGAGCAGAGGGCGACGGGAGGCGACGGGGCGAGCGCGACTCGCGGTGGCTGAGGCGCCCGCGGAGGCGCCAATGCGCCGCACGCAGGCGCACAGTCCGTTGTGGCCTGGTGCGCCAACGCATCGTCGGCAATTCTCGGTGTCCGGATCTGGCCCCCAGGGTTCCTGGCTAGCTCGAGCAACGCGGCGCTGACCGTCGCGCGGGATGCATGCGAGAGGCCGCCGAAGATGCGGCTGCCGATTCGGCCGTGGCAGGCGAGCGCGGACGCATGTGTTCTTGCCGGCGCACTTCGACGACCCGCTCCAAATCAATCCGACGATTGGCAGCCAGCCCGGGGGGCAGTGGGAGGGGACAGGCCTTTCGGAAGGTTCGGAAGTCGCCCGGCTTCCTGAAAGGGTGCCCCCCCCCAGTCGCTCGCCGCCGAGTCGAGCGCGGTGGAGGTGATGGTGTCCCGCAGAGCGACTCTTCTGATCGATCTCGATGACCTCCATTTTGTCCTCTGCGCCCATGGGGGCTCGTTGGCAACTGGTCTGGGCGCGTGGCGGACGTCGCCCGATGGGGGGCGGCGCGGTGGAAGCGGCCGAGGTTGCTCCCGCGCGAATCACCATTCGATGTGCAGTACTTCTTCCGAGAAGGCAAAGCGCGCAACGCATTAGCGCACCATTGGATGCAGTCCGCGCACAGTGATGCGCACGCATGGGCGCAAGACTTGGCGAGCACGGTTGACAATGGCTTCCCAGAAGTAGGCGATGCACGACCTTCAGTGCGCAATGTTGAATCTAGAGCAACTATATGCGGCTCTGCGGAAGAGCGGGGCACAACAGTTCGCTTCTCACAGACATCGCCCAATTAATGAAAGCAAGTGTCGCGGTCGACAAGGGCCGCGAAGACGCCGGTAATACACTTAGCGAACGCAGCGCAATCAGCACTTCATGCGTCCGCGAAAAAAACAAAAAACTAGCTCTCGGCGGGGTCGCCAGCGAGCCCGTGCAAACTGCAGTCCCGAGCGAAGTAGATAGCACGCGAGTCGACGCAGTCTCCTGTCACAAGCGGCAAGAATGCAAACGGCGCGCAATACGTCGAACCGGCAGCAAAATGCAGAGTACAAGATTTAATCAAAGTTCCCGCTGCGCCCAGTCCGAGAACACTGCGGTCTTCGAACTCAGAATCCGTGAAAGTAGTGTCCTCGATTCCAGGGGCAACGGCTTTTGCGGGAGAAGGGCCCGGCGACGTCCATGTGGCGCTCGCGCGTTGACCAGCGAAGCCGCGCATGCCCCATCTTACACCGCGCAACTTTTTGGCGTTGTCTCGGTTGCCCCAGACGAAGACTTGGTGGTCTTGGCGGCGGTTCGCGGGGGCAAGAGGCCTGGCGGCGGCCCCGCGCCCGTCGAATTCCTGACCTGAAATGTCGCGCGGACGTCGTCCACGCCCCAAGTTGTGGTCAACGAGAACGAGCGCGTAGATGGCACTGCCGGGCGTGCGGATCAGGCCCAATCCTGTGGAAAAATCCCCCACGGGCGCTGGCCATAGGCAAATTGCCCGCTCGCGATGAGAACGCTGGCCCCAGGTCCGGGCGCGACCGCGCGCTTTCCCGACCTGGTGGAGGGGCGAAGCCCACGGAGTCGAAGCATGACCGAAATTGAATTTCCCGAAGGACTCTGGCCAGCGGGCGCCCATAGACCGCAAATCGCAATCGGCAAAGTGGACGTCAGCGCTTCGCCCGCGAGGCCAGTCGCCCAGGCGGTGGCAGAGTGATCCATGCGTCCACCGGGCCAGTGCGACCATCGTCATAAAGTGGAGCCTGCGAGCAGGCGCTGGGGGCGTCGCCCCGCTGATCTCCGCAGGCCAGGCAGCGAGCTCGCAGCGTCGCCGAACTTAGAAGCCTCTTTGAGTGAGGCGCTGGCCAGACTCGCCCTCCATTTGGTCTCCCCCTTGCGCGACGGCGCGGCCCGCGCGCTTGGGTTTGTCGAGGGGGCGTTTGAACGCCTGGCAGACGGTGATCCCGATAACCTGAAAAAGTTGACAATCGTGCCCTCAATCTTGGCATGCGCAGCAACAGCTGCTGCAGCTGCATCTTCAAAGCGCGCGATGATTTTCTGGAGACGGGCGCATTCGGTCTGCAAGGCCTCCTGTGCCAATGGCTTCGCGGCAACCTCCTTCTCGGCGAGGTCCTGCGTCGCCAGAACTGGACCAGCGCCAATGTTCAGCCTGTCTCGGCGTGGTTGCGGCGGCGAAGATGGCGGCGGCGCTGCCGCGGCCGCCCTTGCCCGCGCCGTCGCGCAGCGAAGGCGTAATTTCCTTCTGCGGCCACGATCGCAGCCGGCGCGGTCTTTGGCGGCGACGGCGCGCGATGGCGCGGATGATCCAGCGCCGCCCAGGCGGGGAAGGCCTGCGATGGAAGATAATGGCGGCGTCTCGAGGGCCGCCAGAGATGGCCACGCACGAGACGCTCTCGTCGGCGATCCCGCAATCGCGAAGAATGTTGAATAATTGTGCTAGAATTTGCATCGATGGTGACGCTCCATTCACTCTCCCCCAGCGGGCCGTTAGCCCCCGCAATGCGGAATCTCTCGGCCCGTTTGTCGCACCGAGACATGCGCGGAGCGGCGCGCGATGACGAGCGTCGCGCGCTCGGCCAGCAACGTCATGGAATATTCGCCCTTGCTTTCGCTGCGTCTTGGAGGGGGACTTCCATAACTCTGGGGAAGCGCGGCCAGGGCTCGACCATGGAACCCGAGCTCCCCGCCTGCGGTAACCTCCAGTGCAGGATAGAACCGTATGCGCCCAGCCCAGAGTTCACAGAGATGACGGTGGCCGTCTGCGCTCACGCCATGCCATGCGTATCCGTACCTCGCAATCTGGTCTTCACCCTGGAAAATCGGAATGTCAGCCATGTAGAGCACGACCTCCAAGATTTCAGAGGCGACAGGTAGAACGACCACGTCGCCCGCGGGAATGAAAAGGCGCGCGCGAGAGCAACAAACCACACGAATGATGCAACCGCCACGCTGTTCCTAACCATCATTGGGCCTCGACGGGGATGTTGGTTCACCTGCGACAGATAGTAGCCGCGCTTGCCCCTGGCGCACCAGCTGGGTCGCCCCACTCGGCGGGGTGCTTCAGCAGTGGTT